ACAGACAGACAGACAGACAGACAGACAGACAGACAGGGCGAAAGATAGATAGATAGATAGATAGATAGACAGACTTCGGACCGACGCTGTAGATGCCCTTTCCTCAGCCCACGAGTCATCACTTGCCGCTGGTCCCGCCGGAGAAAAACCGAATGTTGCAGACGTGCACCGCGACTGTCGGCTGCTTTCATAACCTCGCGCAACGCGCGCCCGTACCCAGAACTTCCCCCGGTTCCTGTTTGCTTTCTAAACGATCCAAAAGTTGTTCCGCTCAAGATTTCCAGATATGTTTCCGACTTGAGACATCTGTGTCTTTCACAAGAGAAACACAGTTGCTTGTAGATTTCATACGCTAGTAGTGATGTCAGAATTCACTAGTATGCAAACCATCCTGACCTCACTCTATGAGAAAGTGTCTAAGTTCGAGTCCCCTCCATCCCCCTCCTTTTACTCTATTCATTACAAATCGCAGACGCATTCTTAGCACCTTGCACGCACTGCCAATTCATCCGGTAAAACATGTGGCCATGAAGGATCGAAATCACGATAGGAATTTTGTAGAAAATAAAAGAAAAATCAGCCTGGAGAGTTGCAGTTTACGACCATTCGATATGTTAGCAAAAATCCCGCGCTGGTAATGACGTTAAAAGAGCAGGCCACACACTGCACCCCCCCCCCCCCCCCCCCGCCAACTGACCACTCAGAACTTAGAGAAATTTGAATCAGAAACATTGTCGGACCTGAACAGGTTTCTGACTGCACTGGGTTGAATTTTAGTCATGACAAGATGATGGCACCGTAACAGCTATGTTACATCAAGAAGCAGAGATTACGCAACCGTGAAGAAGACCAAGAAGCAGATAACAAGAGCAACACAGAAGGAAAAAAAACAAGAAGCACATAAAGACAACAGCTTTACCGAAAAAGAAGTCGTTAGAAGGAACAGACATCACTAGAACGTTCACCACTCACCGACTCAGAAATAAGAGAACATAGGAAAAGAAAGATTAACTTGTCAGTTGAGCGCTCAAACCGCACCCACAGATAAATAACGCATCCCTATTTTTCTTCCTTTTTTCTCTTTAAAAAAAGTAAGAGTGGTGTGAGAGGGAAGGGGTATAGAAAAGGTATCAGCAAACCCCTCACTAAAAAGTTACAAAGTGCAATAACTGCTGACTGCTGCGTCAGGTAAGACAATGATACTACGGGCCACGGCAGCTGTTACAGTGGAAACGTCAGCTCAAGACCCGAACCTCGTCGCTCACTCAGCCCCGTGCTACGATGTTAGTGAAAGTAATGGGCGAAAACACAAGGCATTTTAGGGAATTAGAGAGCTGTTTGAATTTCAATACAGTGAAGCACATCGACACAATAACGGTCATCTAGTGCAGGGAAGAAGCAAGACAGATCATCAAGAATTTATGTATAGAGGCATCAGAACATCCATGTCCAGGTGCTGTTTTAGCCTGAGCAAGACATAGAGGGAAAGAAAAGAAATAGAATCTACCAATGGCGCCCTCCAAGTAAAGAGAAGCACAACGACTCTCCCCTCTCGGAAATCGAACTCGAGACTCCTGTAAGCAACATCCAAGCGCCTAACCACTACACCACAGACGCCGGTAAGGGTATGCCGGATGATGGGACGATGTTTTCTTACAATACATAGTCAAGGAACAGCATTCTGCGGTTTTCCCTTACTCCAAAGAGCACCCCGCCCCCTCCTGCCCCACCCAATAACACCCCGGGGTCTCTGCCCTGGTCTGACAGCCGGACGTTGTTGAGTAGAATCTAGTACCGCGCGTGCCCGGCATAGTAGCGGGCCCAGAACGTGCACTGCGGGAGGCGCGTACACACTGTGAAAACAACTGCAGCTGGGAGACTGGCCTCATGCCACTCACTATCCGTGGTGCTG